ACTGTTATACACTGTCAAATACACTGTTATTGGCGCCCTTCCAAAATAGACTCGGAACTTTTGCACTGCTAACAGAACTGAAAGTGCCTCTCTCTCAGTCGCGGAATAATTTCTTTGTGTTTGATTTAAAGTTCGACTAAAAAATGCCACGAGCTGCTGATTTTGCGAAAGTACCGCTCCTACCGCATAATCCGAAGCATCCGCTGAAATTTCTAAATTCTCATCATTTTCAGGAAATTTCAAAACAGGGGCTTGCGTTAATGCTTGCTTTAATTTTTCGAAAGCACTATTGGCTTCGGCCGTCCACGAGAATCTTGCCTTTTTCCTTTTTAATTTTAACAATGGTTCAGCAATAGCTGCAAAATCTTTTATAAAGGACCTATAATATGAACAAAGTCCTAGAAAAGAAGAGAGCTTCTTCGCCGTGTTTGGAGTCGGATACTTTTGTACAGCGATTATTTTTGATTCGTCTGTCTCGATTCCTTTCTGAGATATTTTGTAACCTAAGTATTTTAATTCAGGGGCTGCAAATTTGCACTTTTCGACATTAACTTTTAGACCGCCCTCATTTAATAATGAAAAAACCTGTCTTAAATCCTGTACATGTTGGTCCAGATTATCACTAGTATTAATGATATCGTCTACATAGATAAATGTGGACTTTCCAAGAACAGGCCTTTGCACAATGTCCATACATCGCGGAAATGTTGCCGGTGCCCCTGAAAGGCCAAACGGCATACGCAGGAAGGCATAAGTTCCAGACTTGGTTATAAAAGCAGTCTTCAGGCACATCTTCCGGTCTAAACCCCTATTTGAAAATAACCAGTCGTTAAGTCTAACGTAGTCATATATTTGGTAGAAGTTATGTTCCTTAGAATTTCTTCAATAATAGGTAACGGATATACCGGATATTTAGTCATGGAGTTTAATTTACGATAGTCAATTGCAAAACGCCACCTTTTCGGATGTGTTTACCGGATAGTCATTATTTTTCTTACATAACACAACCGGGCTAGCATAACTACTTGAGATGGGCGTTATGATCTTTTTACGTAACATATCTCGAATATGCCACTCTATAATTTTTCTTTATTTCTTATCATACCGGTATGGTTTTGTGGCGAACTGGCATGAATCTCCGGTGTCGATACTATGGTTAGTAACTTGAGTAAATCCGGGAATATCACTAAATAACGAAGCAAATTCACTTACCACTTGGCGATTTTTTTGTTGCTCTTCCTTAGGCAGGTGGTCGAGGTGTAACGTCGGCGGTTCTGTTTTTTCTTCTCGAACTGGTTTCATCGTCAGCTTAAGGGACGCTTCGTTAGAATCCAGCGTTGCTTGTGCCTCTGAAAGAAAATCTATCCCTAAAATAACATGTGCTTGCAAATTCTTTACGATAAAAAAACATAATCTTTACTTGTTCGTCCTTGATACGAATGTATAAACGGTAATTTACCTATGCACTTGCAATTTTCTCCCTGCGCCAGCTAACACTGTCGTATTATCCGAATTATATATGCGGTATTTACGAAAATACTTCCTAAAAAAAGTTTTCTGCCACACAGGAACACTGCGCGCCGGTATCCAGGAGTGCGGTGGCTGGGATATTATTCACCAACACTTCAATCTTCGGAAGAGTCAAATTTTTCACCATTCACTGTATTTAACTTGAAGGAAGAGGGGTTTTTTCTTGGCCTTCGGATTTCCGCACCGTCCCGTCAGCAGAAATCCGTTTTAGTTTAAATCTTGTTTTTCCTTTCCGTGCCTTCCTTCTTTTCCGCTGGCCTTCAGACTTTTTTCCTGGCTTACTATTGAACTGTCCACGTTCGCCGGTTGTTTTTGGATGCTCGGGTTTCCTTGCCCACTGATTCGCTTTGCTTCCGTAGCCGTGTTCTTGACTTTCCTGTAGTCTTGGCGCACCAAATTGGTTTCGTTGCTGATACTGGCGTCTTCTTTCAATGTCCGCCGTTCTTCTACTTTCAAACTGGATTGCTAGCTTAAATAACTTTTCCAGTGTAGTCGGATTCCTTAATTCAATAAAGTCTTGTACTTGGGGGAAGTAACCTCGGCAAAATCACTTGAATTATCTCAGGATCCGGACGGTTTCCATACAAGAGTTTGAAGACGTGAATTTTTCTTAAAATAAAGCTTGAGAGATTTTCAATTCGTTTCTGGTATATGCTGAAAGAGTTCCGTTTCTAATCTTCGCACGATCCTCTTACGAACAGGGAAGGCTTTTACTAAGGCAGTCTTAAAATTTTCGTAAGTATAGGTGGGACTTCCCGCTTGACCCAAGAGTCTTCTGCCTATACATTTGAACCAATTAAGCGCTTGGCCCCTCAAAGCGCTGGTAGCTAAGGTGACTTTCTGGAACTCATGTATTGGATACAGCATGAAGTGGTCATTCAATTTTTCCAAAAAACTGGTTACCGGTGAGTTTCCATTAAATGTTGATTCTGGTTTCATCGATGCGCGCAAGGTTTGGACGATGTAACCAAATCCTTCCAGGGCGGCAGCTGGCATTTCTGGATTCAGAGCCGCTTCTGCAGGCAGCACAGGTTCTTCTTGAAACTCGGCCATGTTTATTCTTCTTCGTCGGGCGCCATTATCAGGTTCTGTGTTCCTCCTTACTTGCTTTGGAAACATTAACTGTCCTGACTCGGAACAGGGAGCTTACTAAAGCTATATTCAATAAATTTGGGAAGTAGACAATACACACAGGAAGGGTATACGAAACCCTTTATTTTTCTCTCTTTACAATGATTTCCGGAACTTCGGAATACAGAGACCAACCACTTGTGGTCTGAACGTAAAAATATAAAAAATATTAACTAAAAATCTAACTAAACTAACTTTGGATTAATAAACAAGTGCCTAACTCCAAGATTGGCCGTGAATTAACAAAAAGCCGTATGTAGTACAGAGAGCTGCTAAAACTACGATACGTTTAAAATTATCACGAGGATTAAACCTCTGGCCTTGAAGGCAACCAGCAACCGAGTAAAACTACTATGGCAAGCGGCCTGCTTCTAATAGCTCCTTCCTCTCTCTTGCTTGGCAAAAAGCCACAACTTAAGTACTTGGCGTTCGCAAGACAAATTTGCATAAATAAGTTAAAGCTTTTAATTCTGGCCGGAAGTAGAAAATAAGAAGTGATAGTGAAGATTAAAATAAAATAAACGTTAGTAAAACTTAGGATCCTTACAGTTTATGTGGCAGTTCTTTGTTAGCTTTACAGTTTACAATATCTTTTCGACTTGGTTTCTGATATTAGTTTGAAAAACGATGATAAATCTGTCTTTTTTTTAATAATGAATTTTATATTATTAAATTTGGGACACTCAAAGTTTTTGGGTTCAAGTTGCAATGAGATACATGAGTTTTTATAAAAACTGTGTTCCAAAAAATAAATGTGAAAAGAAGAAAACTCTTTTTCCTTTTTCTTCTTTCTTCCAAAGCCTTTCTTCAAAATGGCGTCAATTTAATCCTTAAACTACTGAATATATTTCCCCTCTTTAAATTTTAATTTTGCATGAAAAGCGGTTCTTTAGCTCGAAGCAAAGTGATCACATTTTCTGAAATTTCAGAAAAATCACTGGAACAGATTGATATCTTAAAACATTCAGTTCATACGTAATATAAAAAATAAAATACTGCCTCAAAGAATTAATATGGTTGTATAAACAATGATGTGTCAAAGGTCTAATCTGCTTCACCCACTTCCGCAAATAGTCTTTGTTTGCGTAAGTAAATCAAGTCAACATACTACTGTACTGCTTATTTACATTTGCGGTATATAGGTAACTCTGAAATTTTAGAGACAGGAGGAGACAATATAAGCTACAATAATTTGTGATAATAACTGCTATTCATCTATCGTAGAATAACTTTTGAAAGAAGGAAAATGGAACTGACGCTAGAACGTTATCACGCTAACATTTTCTATGATTTCTAAGTGGGGCTAGATTGAAAAGAATTTCTTTGACAGCTAAAATTAGCACATGGAAATGAAGCTCTAGGTCATGCCACTATGTTGAAATGTTTTATAGAATTTCATACAGATCGAAAACTTTGGATCAGCCGATATATTTAAAATTATTCGTGATGAGATGCACATGAAAAAATGAATTTGTCATGAGGTTAACAGAGCACACACACACACACACACACAAACAAAAACAAACAAAAAAATCGGAGCTTTCCAGAAATAACCAATAAACCCTAAAATTATTTAATGATTGCAGACACCACGTTAAAGTTGTTAACTGCTGATGAATTGTATAGGATTTTGAAGACCAAGCAGCAGTTGTGAAAAACAATGAGCAGTCATGCACGCTATTTTCTTCAGATGTGCAAGACTCGTTAAAACCATCAAGTTAGACGGACAAAAGGCAGTTATAGCTAATTGGTACACTACTGTCTTCCAGAAATTCTTCGAGAAGTGAATATTAGGGTACTCGTGCTTCACTATGATAACACGGACATCAAAAAGATAAAACATCCATCCTATTCTCCTGATTTTGCTATATGTGATTTTTAACTATTTTTTAATCTAAAACGAAATATTATATGACCATCGCTTTCATTCCGAACATGAGACTGATGAAGCCATATAAGCCCATTTTTATCGATTCCACGAAATCGATCGTTTGAACATTAATCGTTGGAAAATTCGCCTGCGTGAGTGCATTAATGTTGCAGGAAACTACTTTGAATGCATCAGAGTGCCTCTTGTCTTCTCTGAAATGCCCTAAATAGTCTTCTATTTGATCTTCTATTATATTCGATCGTTTGCCAATAACATGTTAAAATAAAACTTATATCATCCACTTAGTGGAAGTATTAATTTGTTTATCAAAAGGAGAATATAAATAACAACTTTCCTATATAAATAGGCAACAATATTGAGAATTTTAGTATTTAACTCTTCAATTGTGGAACAATAAGAATTTCATTGCGATTTTTCGATCCTAAATCTCTTTATTTCTCTTTTGCAGTTCTGTACGATGGAAGGTTTCATCACTGCAGTTGTTGACGAATGGCCGCGGCAGCTTAGACCTCACAAAGAGCTCTTCATTGCGGGAGTGTGCGTCGTGTCTTATATTATGGGCCTTTGTTTCGTCACGCAAGTATGAGACGTTATACAAAGCTTAACTTTTGAATAATTCTACAGATGGAGTTAAATACCTTAACTACAAATCCTGGGTTCTCAAAGTATTTCTAAATGATTTTTGATGCATAAATTTTCTAGTTTTATTATTTCAGACCAAGGAATTCAGATGCTTTTTGCATGGACCTCTTTTAGGCTTCATGATTTTTCATTATCTACAAGTCAAATTAAAGATAGGCAGTCCTCCTACTACATGTTAATTCACGTCTTGTTGGATGGAAATTATACGAAGCGAAACTCCGAAGTAATATGGATTAGACGATAGCGCTCTTTATTAAACGAAAACGAAAGGCGAATCAACAAAGAAAATAAAGCAATTGCATTTAGAGTGCAGCATTTTGAAAAAGTAAACCCTCTTCGGAAAGCCATTTCTGCAACCATGTTTGTTCGTAATAATTACTACAAATCTTGTTCAATAATAATCTGAATCTGATCTCTATAATCATCCGAATCTTGTTCAATCGTTCTGAATCTTGTTCGAGATTTTTAAATTGGAAAAATGCATGTGATATGTAAATTTAAGCTCATATATGTTTTCAAAGAGTTAAAGCTGTGGTCAGTTTTCTTTACACATCTACTTATTGAATTACCGAAATCTTATAATGTTGGCGTAAATGAACTTCTAATGGCCTATTACTTCTTCCTTCCAACTTTTTCACCATAACATTGGTTCAGGAATTATCTGAGCTCACTTCTTTGAGGGGTGAAAGAAGCACTGCATAATGGTTTTGGCATCAGCAACATTTTTGACAGGATGCATCAATAACAGATTTAAATCACCCACCGGTATCTGTACTGTTTGTTAATTTCACCATTCAAAATGGAAAAAAAATTGTCAATAAATACAGTCCTTCATAAGAGCATGCTATTCATATTGGCTTCCTGAGAAGCCTTTACTGCGAACTGGAACCGTTTCTTTTGGTGGGGGTCATCTTCATTTCACTATAGCATAAGCTGAAACTGAAATGGCTGCTATTTTTCCAGAGTAAACCACATACAATCGAGCTTTCCTGGTATCCGGTTCCAGTTTTCGGTTTAGTTGATTACGGCAAAGTACACTTGAGCTATCTGCCTATCAGGATAGATTCCTTTACGGAGGACTTGCTAAAGGAAAATTACTCATATACACGTTATACATGAGGAAAACCATGAAAACACCCATTCAGGTCAGCCCGTTCACCTGGAGCTGAGTTCAGATCGGAACTATAAGTATTCAGCGATTGTTCCGCTCGGGACACTGACGAGCCGTAGCCGATTCCAAGGGTAAGCATTCAAAGTTAAGGACTTTCAAGAAAAGAACTACTGCAGTATTTATCATGTGCTAATCACGTTTCACTGTTGTTCTTCTAATAATTTGGCTACAGCATAAGTATTGTTAGTTCTCTTGGGTTGAAGATTGTTAAACTCATCAACAATAATACCATTGTTTCACTATTAAAAATAAGCTTGTTAAAAAATTCAAAATAAGTTTGTTTCACCATTGAAAGGGTCAAACACATTTCGTTCTTATACCATAACGTACCATGCTGTATCACCACAAATGAAAAAATAAGAGGCCATTAAAAGTACAATGTCACCTTAGACTATTATCTCCTTAACTAAAATTGCGTCATTGCGTTTTTGTAAAATTCCAGCTTAAACTTATGCATCATATGCATGCTTCTTCATGCTTTTGAAACATACTACACTTTGTGAAAGAAAGAAATGAATGTGAGTATTGTATTAATAGCCATGTTTATTGTATGCATTCACTCTGATGAAACTGAAACACTCAGAAGATAATACTGTACGAAGATCTCCCAAAAAAATGGTTGATGTATAAGAAGTAGGATACGGCTTGATGTAAACATATTTAAATATGTTTTCTTGTAAATGGTACTCTTTTGAATGTTTCAATATCTATGTTTTTCTTACGTTGAATTTATTATATTTTAAGAGGAGCGGATTTTATAAACACCACACATGCTCGAAAATATCATATATTCGTACTAAACTGAAAGAAAAGTAGAAGCTCTTTGATTTAAAAAATTGTTGAGTGTTAAATTTCTGCAACGCAATTTCTTCGTTACACATTTTATCTGAACATTCAAAATATTAGCCTAGTATTTCATTCTTTCTTATATTTAAACCAAACTTCGGACCTGTGGAGCAATCCTTAACTGAACCAACATTTTATGATCTTGAAGTATCTGTATTAATAGTAATCGTATTAATAGTAATCTATTATCATCTTTACGCATACTTCTCTCAAAATTCTTTTTTTTTTCGTAGGGTGGAATGTACGTGTTTCAGTTATTTGATTACTACGCGGCTAGCGGGATTTCCCTATTATTCTTAATATTCTTTGAAGTTGTTTCCATCTCATGGTCTTATGGTAAGTACACAGAGCAGCATTTATAAAAAATCATTTCTGGTTTTAAGAATTTTTAATGTTAATGATGTCTTCATTATGGTATGTTCTCCTTCCATGAAGTTAAATAATAAGGTATTTCAAATAAAATTAATTGCTTAAATTAACCTACTATGTTTCCTTGATTAATTCGAAGCATTTATTTCTACTCGTATTTCCATATTTCAAAACTTTATTGAGAAAATATGATAATTGCCTTGTAAAGGTCTAAGCAACTTACAGGTACAGCTTTTTTCTGATAGATTATATAAAAATCTTACAGAACTTTTTACTGATAGTGGCCGATATAATCCCAAGTTAATCAGGATTCTAAGCCATTCCAGCTAAAGTTGTAGATTTGACATTAGTCGGAACCACAGACTTAATCAGTAATGTATTCGCCGAAAGCATTGCTGCAAAAACAAAACAACGCAAAGGGGAAGCATCGTAGGACAAAACATCGTAGCAGAAAAGAAGTTACAAAAAAATGAAATATCGCAGTTATAAAATGCCGTGCTATAAAACATCCTAGTAGAGTGGCGCATGATGATTACATTACAGGCAAGCGTTTTTTGACTGAAATTTTAAGTGAATTTTTCGCGTAATGATTTGTGAGCATAACTAAAAATAAGTAATATTTTTGGTATTAATTAATAAATCTTTCTCTTCAAAGCAACAAAGAAACTTAATAACTCGAAATCTGGAATTTAGTAAAGCTTAATATTACATATAGCATTTTGTAATATTAAACTTATATTGCTAATTATGCTGCTATGATATTGTTCAATTAACCTCTTTTATAAAGACGTATTAGTAAAATTTTCATAAAACAATATAATATAAAAAATATTAGAAAGGGGAAGGCGTTAGCATTTACATGCTGCAATGCGGTTGAGGTATTCAAAGTTAAAAATTAAGAAGCATTCTGAAATACAGTAGTATATCGTACAGTTGTATTCTGGAGCAAAATACTTCAGAAACAGTTAATATAATGAAATAATATTACAGAGGAAATCATTTTTCGTAATCCGCTTTTATTTTTAAAATACCGGGAATTAAAAACAAATCCTGGGCCTGACCAACTTGAAAGTGTTGCAAAAAGCAGTGGAGATTACATTTGCGAAATGTCCATTTTCCAGGCACTTTTATCAGAATATTGGGGAATATGATATGAAGATATAGAAAAGTCGATTAATATTTCTAAGACATCATCCACCTTTTGTCAAACTGGTGTAACGTTGTTGAAAAAACAGCATTTTCTGGGCACTTTTATAAGAATATTGGGGAATATCGTATGAAGATATAAAAAAAGTCGATTAATATTTCTAAGACATCATCCACTTTTTGTCAAACTGGTGTAACGTTGTTGACAAAATTGGAACTTCAATTTCTCAATAATTAAAACAAGTCTCGTCCTCTTGTGATGTACACATTCAGTGGATTCTCTCACATGTGCACATTTGGATAAATAAAAAGGCAGACGCCCTGGCAAAGAAGGGTGACAATTCATAGTGGGTGCGAAATGTAACAATGAGCAGGCTTCTCCGGCACATATTCTTAGGTGTCTGGGTTTGTCCTGCGACGACCTGGTCAAATTTTCCTATGCTAGTCTATGACTTTTTGAAGGTGAATAAACTCGTGGACCTCGTCTAGCAGAACCTGGACTTGAGGATTAGCAACAACAACAACAACAAGACATCCATATCTCTTTCACATAGTATTTCACTGCTTCACCACATGTGTTCCAGCTGTGTTCCCCTCATTAGTTGACGAGAAAATAAATATCAATTAGATTTCATTAGTATCACGGGTAAAAACAAATAAATAAAAAGAATATTAATTTTCTAAAGAAAATAGTAACCGGCAATGAAAAATGGGAACTTAATCGAAGTCCGCAATAAATATCTGAATATACGCTGATTCGCTTCGCTCATCTGCAAATAGGCTACTCTACTTCTCGTTACTTCTCATCATCAAGATGACATCCCATCTAAAGCTGGAAGACCTGACGGATTAAAGTCATTCCGACGGAAAAAAAAAGCGATCAGCAAGCATGCATTTTCTGAACTTCAAGCATTACATATTATCTATCGTTATGTTACACAAAATATTACATGGTGCAGAAGTTCGTGCTTCGTTAGAATGTTACATTATTCACAGTGATTTTTATGTTGCTGTGTGTGCGTAGCGTATTTCGCATTTAACGTTTAAGAGAAGAGGGAATATAATATGATAAAAAAAGATTAAAAAGTAGCAAAAAAGAAATGAAAATAAGAATAGAGAGAAAACATAACAAAACAAAACAGAAAAGACTCAAAAGAGAAAACATATAGAGGGAGAAAGAGTAAGATTTATGTTGTTATTTTACATGCAATATACTGTACAACCAAATAAACAGTACTTATTGTTATGCAGATGAATAGAAAAGTCTAACTGAAACAATAAATACATTATCATTGTTTCAAGCAAATAAATAAAGCATATTATTAAACGGATAAATGATAAAGACTAGTTGATACAGCACATAAATTTAGGAATATTACATGTGAGTAAGTAGGATTTGTTTTCAATTAACTACAAGAACAAAGTATGAAACCAGCTGAAATACAAAGTAAAAAAATAAATGATACTAGAAATAATGTACAATATTTATGATTATTAATAAGCTTGAAATGCGTTGCTCGGTACGTGTACATATGTGCTATATTATTAACATTTTACTGGTCATGTACATCAAAACTCCTACCATCCCAAGTCAAACATTTCATGCTATATAAGCAAATAAACTATATATATGCAGAAAAAATATAATGCAGAAAAATGATAGGACGTTTTCAGACCAAATCAGTCGAAAAGATAACGATGATATTTTCCTTATTATAAAGTCGCGATCAGTTGTCAATTGTACATAGTCTATGGTAGAACGACATATTTTAAGGTGGTACATATTCTAAGCATTCTAAAGTTATTCTAAAGTCTGCGATAATACATATCCAGAAAGTGATGTGAATTTGTAGGAATGGCGATGCTTCGAAACTATAACGTCCGTCCTTTTATCACTGATTCCACTCGACGTTTACTTGCAAAATGCAGAATTAAAACCATGCCACAGCCTGCTTTAAGTCCAGACAATTCGCTGCATGTATTTTCTACTTTTCTTTCTTACATTACGTTAGTTGTTTCGTTTGGAGAAGCTCCGTGAAAGAAAGTCCAATCCAAGGGGTGATATTATTTCTTCTGTATCTGTAGAAGATTCACTGAAACAATTTATACAAAATGCCTCCACCACATGCTTTGAAAAATGGATTGAACAATGTGACCATAGTATATCATCTGAGGTCTGTTTTTTCAAAAAGAGAAACATATATCTTGTTATATCTGTATTTCTCAGTTTTTATAATTTTTGCTCCTAGGTTTTATGAAACATTATCATTGTTTAAGGATTTTTGAGAAGGAATATAATTACAGATCTATTATCATTCAATCTTTCAGGAGTCAATCGATATTACGACAATCTTCGTGACATGCTAGGATACTACCCTTGCTTCTGGTGGAAACTGTGCTGGGTATTTTTCACGCCTTGTGTATGTGGGGTAAGAAGATTTGCTGTTTGGATAAACAGAATTTGTTTATATAGTATGATGATATCGATTTCAGGGACGTAATTAGAAATTTTTGGCAAATATTTTTCTGAAATTTTATTTCCTGTTCATATCGCAAATTTTTAATTAACTTTGATTTCTGGATAGGCTGAGGAATTCCATTTTGTGTAAATCGAATATAGAGAAATAAATTAAGTGATATATTCTAAAATAGTGCTTCTTAAACTTTTTCATTGATTAACCCTTTTTTACCATGGAGAATTTTTTGCGAGCCTAGATATTAAATATGGACTAAATATATAAAAATAAATATTTTCCCATAAATAATTTATTTCTTTGGTAAACTTTATGCATATGAAATAAAGCATTGTTAGAATTTGTTTTAAATTTTAAAAAAATCACGTTTTCATGAGATAGTTTGTGATGTGTTTGCTTTTTGTTGCATAACTAATTAAATCTTGGTGAAATATTTGACATTGCTGGATGTAAAGCATCTTCAAAATGTTTCAGAGTTGAACAATTTAATAAGCTCACATAAGTATGTAGTGCTGAACGGCGGAATAAAATTTAATGACATTTCAGAAATTGTGAGAAATTCAGTTCTAACTCCAATCCCAAAATTCAGTGCAAGGTATTTGTGGAAACTGAAGTCACTGGATAGCTCAGCAAATTCCTTTTAAGCTTAATACGGCATGTGATTATTCTCATTAATGTCAAGTAATGTAATTTCTTTAAAAGTCTTATTAACGAAATTTCTTTAACTTCATTAATCTGAATGACATTTTCGCGACCCCAACATTTCACATTGCTACCCAATTTTGGGTCGCGACCCGCAATTTAAGAACGCTGTTCTAAAGTAATATTTCTTTTTTCACTTAAACGCTTTTTTCACCTATGATTTGTAATCATTTTATTTTTCTAATTTTTATCGCACTTAAAATGTCTAAAATCTTCAGTTATAAAGTTATAAAGTATAATCTTTTGCCTATTTTTCACCAAATTCCATTTAATGATGCCATTTTTGGTGTGTATTTAGTTCTTAGCATTGCAATTATCTACTAATAAAGGATTATCTAGTAAAAATCTTAATTTTCTGATAGATAAATATAAAATGAAATAATTATTCTGATACAATGTTTGAAATAATATAGCATGTATATGTTTATATTACTTTTTTTATGAACCATTACCTGTATTGCTAAATTTGTTGATTTTATATTCATATTCATATTTTTATTTCATATATCTCCAACACACATAAAAATGATATGATTTTATTGTAAATCCAAAAGGCGTAAATTTTTAAGGCTTTCTCCATCATTTCAATAACCCTTAAATGCATGAATTTTTATTTTTAAAGTCAAAAATACATTAGAATTGATATCAAATAAAATACAATAAAAAAAAAAAAAAAATTCTAAACTAAGTTTTTATTCCAATTTTTGAAAAAAATATTATCAACTTTTACACACACACACACCAAGAAAATGATAGGCAAATGCGTAATAACAATTTTATGTAATAACACATAACTTTAAAGTTGTTCAAGCAATTTTAAAACTTTGAATACATCACAATAAAAACAATCACACAATCAAAAACTCGTAAGCACAAAAGATTTCCACACATTAACTCACACAATAATGACCGTTACACCGTTAGTGGTGCCACCACACTGAAATTTTCAAAACTATATACGTAAACAGTATGTATCCAATTGGTTGCACAATGCAGTAAGCAAAAATTTGTGTTTAGATTTGATTTACATGACTGAATATGAGTATGTTGTCAAATAGCAACTACATGCATTTAAGGGACAATAAACGATGCCAGTTTGATGTAAATGATAATGTAGGGTAACAACGTATTTCATTGATAGCCTGAAAAAGATACCTGTTGGTTGCAAAAGTAAATGTATTGCTAGATTCCATTCCATTCCTTAATTTCATTTCTTTTTCAGGGAGTTTTCCTCTTCAGTATGGTTCAATACCAACCTCTCTCTTATATCGGATATAAATATCCTGCATGGGGTGAATTCATTGGCTGGCTGCTTGGTTTATCATCTATGCTTTGCATACCAAGTTATGCTCTATATAAGTACTTTACGACTACAGGTACATTTAAAGAGGTAAGTGAAACTATTTATCCCATAACCATAACCTGAATTTAAAATTAGTGCATGTAACATCATGTTCTAAGCAAGATTAGCTGGTGTGAGGTTACAAAATATAAATTCTTCCAACGTTTCCAACGCTATACTTTTGAGCTGCTTTGCATCAAATATAAAAGATAATTAAGCTTGACTTAACCTAAAATATGAGCATCTGGCATTATTAGAATAAGTGAAATTTAAATTTTGTTTATAATAATGTTTGCATCATAGTAAAACATTTTGTAGTAGATTTATAGTTAGTAATGTGTAGCAGATAGTTATTACAAATTAGTGCGTTTCTAGATGACGATTCCATAGTAACAGACGATGTTGTACTGCTTCATAAGTAACCTTTTTCATTTATCTCGCTTCCTTACAGAGTTAGATGTGATAACTTCTTTAATTTCCCTGTAGAACTAGCTTTCATTCGATCTGCTATAATCATTTGATTTGATGTAAGCCGAAACTAGTGTAGTCTGGGTCCATCATTCCCAACTAAAAGGGGTGCGTACGCACTTTCTTTTGGACCCTGTATTAACAAAAGTGCAATATTCTTGTTTCGAAACAAAAGTAAGAGTATGACCTTTTCTCCTGAATTAAAGTGTAAGCTAATGCAGAGATTATTTATAGAAGTAATGATAATTCATAAATGTATGCTTAATCAAACTTATTTTTCTTTGTAGAGAATGAAGAAGCTTTGCAGACCAGATATAAACATTCAGGAAGAGATTCGACAAAGAAAAATACGAGAAGATGGTATGAGTTCAGTAACTGCCGTTTAAGAACAGTTTTCGAGAGTCCGTAGTTGCAAGGAAATAAACAATTCATGCGTTTCAGCGTCTCTTGGGCACAATGCTCTATTACACCTATCTTCCACAGTGTACGAGATGTAATAACTCTCACTCAAATAATAAATGTCAAATAATGAAGGGTTGCATAAGAGGATTTTTATTCTTTAATGAAGCTAGCTGAACAGAGCAGTGGAATACATTAAAAAAGTGTTGGCTAACCACGTGTACAGTTCATTTTAGAAACATTTTTATCAAGAAAATTTGCAAACGATGTTTATTATAAAAATTTTGCTTCCTTTTAGAACAGCGCCGATGGCTGTTTCACCGTAAAGACAGAGTTAAATGTTAATCCTGTTTCATAAAATCAGCACTCGATCATTTAAAGTACATTGTAAAGAGTAGTTAGAATTTAAAGTATTAAAAACTTATTTACCAATTTAAATTAATGTAAATAAATGTCATCAAAACGCTTCTGTGGACATCTGTGGCTACATTGTTAGAAACTAGTGGTTATTCTCATCCTATGTTTTCAACTATAGAGCCCAAAAGTGTTTGCTACCCTAGATAAAAATGCTATCCTAGACTGAACTGGTAATACATTATCAGGATTCTTGGATAAACAAACTCTGAGTTAGTGTAGTTCATTTGTCAGCAAATGAATATTCCCGAAAAGAAAGGGAATTTTTTTTTTCGATTAAGGCAAGTTTTTTACTATGAAATTTGCATCCAAGCAGAAATCTATTTCTAAAAATGAAGATTGTATTATATTGTTTTCTCGTGCGATATATCTATACAGGTTTGAAGAAAAAAAACATAAGATAAAAAATATATTCAAACATGAAGGACTTTAAAAATAAAAGGAAATTACGGCATTTCAGAAATATAATAAAAGTTTTCCTTTTATTCAGCTTACACTTTTTACTGTAGTATGTACTGTGTAAAATGAACCAACACAAAGAAAATTTGTTGATACAAGGAATCGTCGGAAAGAAAATTCGTATCTAAGACAGTTTGAGGACAACATTCAGAATCTAAACCAATATTTAAAAAATTGGACTTATGAGTGTTTCTCAAATTTCATTATTAAGGTTGCAGTGTGCCGCATGTATTTTGAATACGCGGCCTTAGTTAGGAATAAAGCAATTGTAGCTAATTTTGAAGAGTAATTTTCAGATTTTTAAAAGTGTAAGCAGGAGAGATTGTTAGGTACTTAAAATTTTTTTAAATAATTATAATATAAAATATTATATTTAATAAATGCAGTTTATCCATTGAAGCAGTTATAAGTTTGGTTAATTTGGTCGAACTTGGAAAAAATCTTGATTTTATAGAATATGCTGTTAAAAATATCTTCTGCCAGCTATTTGGTTATCGTTGATTAAAGTTTTGATTAATAATATTAAAATTAGTCAACAAAAATGCAACAGTACAATTTTCATATTTTTTTTTTCATTGCATTAATGTATTCAATGTGGCATTATAATACGGAAGAACATCTTTAATGAATATTTTTGTAGTAACTATTTACTTTTCAAGTCTAGCCTAAGAACAAAGATAGAATATTTTCTTTTATGGGATACTGTGAATAGTTGCTTTTTCACCGCACCATTCGAAAGAAGAAACTGGTGATATTAAGAAACTACCAGTTTGCATCTTTAAATCTAACTTTGATTATCTGCTAAAAGTTTACATTATATATATATATTTTTTTTTAATTTAAGTGTGCCATACAAGCATATATTTCTATTTTTATTTATGACTTATAAATAATCTCTTTGTACATTCAAAATAACTTTATCTTCAGCATTCAAAATATTCATTGTATTTATAATTCAGCTTTAGTGCACATCATCAGTGAACGGAATGTGAATGATAGTTTGGGAAAGTGATTGCAATAAATCTACAGTGACGAGGAAAAAGTTGTCTTTATTCAAACACATTTCGTGGTCAAAATTATTTTCATTGTAAAAGAAGTTGAGGAAAAGAATGGATGAAATGGGAGTTAAACAAACGCCCAATGTTAATTGCATTAATATTTTCTATCTATTGGGATTCTTTTAGCTTAAAAAGATCCTAAATCCCGGCCTTTTTTAAGTGGAAGAAATTTTTCCTCTCCTTTTGTTTCGGGGGGGGAGGAAGGGTTGGAACACATTTGCTTAGAAACGTCTATTATATTTTTTACTACTTCTTAATGGATAGCTATCAAAAATATTCAAGTCTTACCGCATACTGTACTCAATAAATGAACTCAGGAATTTTTATCAGTGTTTCTTTTTACAGTGTTTCACTGCTTTCAATCATCATAGAAATCCATAGTAGTGAAACAGAGATTCAAAAGCTTAGCCATTACTTTTTAAAAATTTTGTTTACGAGAGTTTTCTGGACATGATATTTCATTTCATTAAATGTTGTATTTCATAATGACATATGTGGTACCGAGTCCCATTGTAACGTTTAAGTAAAATGTGTTTTTATTTTATTTTTAGATTAATTATTCCTGTATTGACATTGCCTCATAAATAAACTTGTATCAAAATGAGATGTCCATTTGTTGATTATTTACTTGAAATTTCTTGAATCATTAAAAATCTAAACTATACATTTTAGCTCGCATATGAATGATAAAAAGCAGCGTTTGGCTCAAAACACTTTTTCTCATCCACGTATTTATCTTAAAGCATGAGAAAACCTGTCTAATATTAAAAACATAGCCACTGGTCTCAGAAACAATACTTATACATTTTAAAGCACCTAAAGTAAACGAAAACAGAGTTAAAACTTTCTGGGTACAATTTTCAGACTCTTAAGAAGAAGTCATCGAAAGATATAATGATTGTCTGTTAAACATGACAAGGAATCAAAAGATTTCTAGCTTGAGAAAAGAATGAGTCGATGAGCGATCTGAAAGTTTCCAGAAAGTAATCCATAAAAGCATTTATGTGGTCGACTCTAGGATTCAAATTTCAATATTAAACTGCTTTTAATTACTCGGTTGTTGTTGATTTGAATAACAGTAATGAAATTCATTAGTAAGATTTTACGCATTCTTAAAATGTTTGCTTATGCTTGAATTAACAATTTTCAACTGAAATTTGTCTGTGAGCATATGTTTATGAATTTTTTCCTAAACATGTATTTGCTGTTACAGTCAAAATCTTATATCTTATAGCTTTTAAGTCTTTAACATAGTTGTAATATGAAGTTTTACATGTAAAAACTATCATAAATTTTAAAAATTAGTTTTAGATAATGAGGTAGGAATTAAAAATTAGAAAAACTGCAGCTATATCAGATCGTCATGTTGAATAAATTTCAAAATATCAAAATTTTTATCCTATTTTTTAAATGTACTTTAAATTATAATGCCAAGGCCCCATTATCGATGTCGATTGTGTTAATGTTTTCGTTTTCTGGAGAAAGACTGGAAGATTCCCTGCTTTTTATTTCATCTTTTACGATACAAGCAAAGTTAACCTGAAAGCGTTATCAAAGGCAGCGTGACCAATATACAGCCTATCTCATGTGTACATTGCGTCAAACATTGTTTTCCGAAAGCAGTGTACCACATTATGATAGTTATCGCCATTTTTATCAGCATCAAATGTTTATGGTATAGTACAGCTTAGTTATTTATATGAACATGCTGTTGTTCCAAATGGGGGGGGCACTTGCAACGTACTGTATTCGTTGAGAATGGCCAAAGCCCATCTGTCATTTAGTCGGCTCATCAACGAGAACGTGTTGTCCAGGTTGCACCACAGGGACTATCGAAATATACCTTTGAGAAAGAAGCTCGCTTCCAATTTTGATGGAAAAAGATCTCGGATCAGAGAATATGTCACCCCTCTTTCCCTACCACGAAATCTCTCAAAACGACTTTCGGATCGTCTGTATTTTGAATACCTGTATTTGAATGTCTGTGTTTGTTGCAGGAAATTTCGAACCTGAGCCCAACGATACGACAGCCAGCATCGCCAACCACTATAGGAAAGGGCGGTTTTACATGAATATTATCAAAATTTTACCGAAGTGGCTCATATATTTAGAGTCACAAAAAAAGTTGATAAAATTATGTGTTTTTAGTACTAGAATTATACATAAATATTAAGAAATGATTTGAATCCTCAACTGCTAATTTTAAACAGAAACGTAGGAGAATTTTATTTTGCAGAGATAGAACTGAGAACTCACGTTTTTAGTTTCAAATACGTTTCAACGTTTCGTAAATGCAATGCTTCAAAAAAAGGGAGAGGATAAAAGAAAAGGAGAAGGGGGGGGAGAATTTGCCTGAGTGAAATTTAAATTCTAGTTTCTCCTGAAATTAAAGTAAAAATAAAGGTATTTATGTGGTAGTAGATTACATTTAATGCTAAACAATGGATCTTTGTCCTACAATTGAACGAAGAAAGAAACACTAATTAATTCAAAGAATTTTTATCTGATTGCTTCCTGCCCTTCGTGAGTGATGCTAAGTGAATTTTTAGAAAGCTCAAGTAAACAGAACTTTCTTGAACTTTCTTGTAGGTGTGTAGGCTTCTGGTCTTTGAACATTGACATTAAACTGAAGAATATAATGACTCTAAATAAAAATTCTGAACTCTTTATTACCTGTGAAGAAAAATTCTACAAAACATTCCTAAATCTTTAGCTGTAAGACCTTGAGACATACGCTCCTTCGATAAATTATCTTATCTGAAAGTTTGAAACCGTCTGCACACTGCTTGATGTTCATACTTGGATGTGAACGAGGCTATCATTGACGCAATGAGCAGAAAGGAGAAACCAACAATATCAACCTAAAACAGCCTCAGTTTCAGTCTAAATCTTCTTTCTATTCATGCTTCTACAAGAATTAGAATTATAATCCCTACAAATGCTTTACTGCAGTTTGTTCAAAGTGGCTTTAATTGATGCTTGTGAAAAAAGACTTGGGAACTGTTAATCTCTTCTGGAACAAGAAACGTGGAAAGTCACCAGCGCCTTGTCGAAATTCGAAACATGGATCCATACTAGCTGGATTTACTAAACATCATCACAACACAAGAGCACACACACACAAGCGAATACAATTATTACCTACATTCTTCCCCTTTTTAAAGAGGAATGGGAAGAAGCACGAAACCTAGGAGACCAAAATCAGGCAATGATGATAACCCGAGCTAAAAATCTGTCTGTGGTGATCATTCGTAACCAATTGATTTTTAGCTCAGGTTCCAGCGCAGAGATTACTAAACCCTTTGATGCAACAAATGTGAAAAATACACTGTGCTCTATCCAGAATTCGAACCATGGATATTCCAACTATTTATCGGATCTCTTAACTACTTTTGCCACAAGAGCAAGCACGAGGGAATGCGATAACTCTGCAAAGAGAAAGAGTAGAATCTAATAGAATCTGAAAAACATTAAGTGCATTCCTCACTAGAAAGCAAATCAAGTCATCTAATATTTAATATACCAATATAGAGTACTTTTGCATACTTTTTTTTTACTTCATCAACGGAAAAATTAAAGAGCCTTGTTAATTCGACGTGAATCCAAATCCTAGCGAACAGTTGGAACTTCAGTGGTTTTTCTCTATAATTAACATGAATGGAGAATAGTGGCCCTTAAAAAATTCCTTCATAACGGTACCCTTCCGTTGGAAAATAGCCTCATGTGCGTTGCCTTAAATCAATACACCAAGCAACAAACAGCTGACACATGTTTTGATACTGAGAAGAATTTCATCTGCTTTCTCATACAGTATTAGCTTGACGAGCTTATTTGGCCACGAGGATTTTCAAACTTTTTCCCCTTTTTCCTTTTTCTTTTTTTTTCCCTGTGTTTTTTCCCCTTTTTATTCTTTTTTTTTTAATTTTTTTTATTTATTCATTTATTCATTTATTTATTTATTATTATTTTTTTTTTGAAATATCGACTCAAATCCTAATAAAACATAGTTTGTGAGAACTCTTTCCTTCATCGTGCTACTCAAGACGATAAATGATTGCTGGTTTATGCAAGATGGGATAAAGCCTCATAGAACTGATAAGTATTCCATTGTTTAAACTGATACTTTCTAATAAAATAAATCCATGTGTTCTAGTGATACAAAAGGGAGATCGGAAAGTAACGTCGTTTCTGCTCATGTCGACAACAACATTAGACAACATGCTAAGGACAGAAGTGGAAGCAAATCTATGTCAAACAATCGAGGGACTGTCAAACACTCTTAACCAACCTTGGTCGACCATCCAAGAACATTTAAAGCAGAATGGAAAAATAAGCAAAGCAGGTGTTTGAGTCCCCCGTAATCTGTCCGAAAAGAACAAAGCCAACCTATCCATCACATGCAACGTATTGCTTCAACTGCACCGTACAGAACCGTTTTTTGATCGTTTGATTAGTGGAGACAAAAAAAAAATAAGTCCTATATAATAATCTAAAACTCAAAAGGCAGTTTTAATAGGGATTACAAAGGGTTTACATCCCAAAAAAGCGCTTCTGGATGTTTGATGGAGTATTCACGGAATTGTTCATTTTGAATTGCTGAAACCCGGAAAAACTGTTAATGTAGACCTTTATTGTGAACAATTGGATCTAGTGCTAGTGATCTTTAATCGAAAATATCTGGCGATTGTCAATGGAAAAGGCGTCATTCTGCAACACGACAATGCAAGACCTCACTGTGCAAGACGAACACTGGAAAAATATAATGAATTGGGGTGGGAGGTACTGCCTCGATCGCCGTATTCGCCCGATATCGCACCCTCGGATTTCCATTTTATTCCGATCCCTACAACATTTTCTTAGTGACAAAAAATTTGAAAATTTGGATGATGTCTAAAATGCCATCTCGAGATAGTTTACTCAAAAACCAATTGATATCGGTCTGGGATTGAAATCTGCATACTAGATGGCAAAAGGTTGCTGATAACGAAGGTGATTATATTATTGATTAAAATTAAAAACTTGTTACAAATTTATTCGTTTGAATTTAATGTAAAAAAGCGACATTACTTTCCGGTCCCCCTATTAATTGTAAACACATTCAGATAGTAATTGGAAATTCTTGGGTTCGAGTCATGGCGAGGGGCCAGAGGTAAATTCTCAAATTCCTGCTCACTTCCCCTCCTTCCAAAAAAAAAATGACAGACTGTATACTGGTGCCCAAATTGAATAGGATGGACCTTTTAATCTTAATTTTTAACTAATTCATACACAAATTGCTTGAGCGAACTGGGTATCACCTTCTTCTCAAAAGTCACCTTTTAAGGGGGAATGCAATAAATTAAACTTGTTCTTCGAATGACTTCTCATGGTGCAATGATTAGCACATTCCTTTAATAAGTGGAAAACCTGACACTTAGGTTTCGAAGTTTCTGAAACTTCTGTGTAACCGAGTTACCCTCGGCTATTCCTTGCTTCTCTCTAAATGGAATCAACTGGCTTCCAATCATTTTGTCCTGAATACCTGTGATTTCTCCTTGAGTTAGTGACAAAAAACATGAAGTCATTAAGAATGCTTTAAAGAGGCCAAAACATTGTAAATGTAGT